CTTCCATGTTTTGGTACTAGAGGGTTCGTGGGAGCAAGCAGTGAAGAAAGGGGATCACATCGCAGTGTTCCTGGGTTCTTCGATTCGGGTGAGTTTTCCTCACTGCACCGTGGGTCGAAGGCACCAATGCTAAACCACAAGTTTTTGTTATTATCTGATAGAAGTGTGTTCTAGGGATTGTATGTAGTCACGTAGGATAGACTGAGGACACTTTATCTAGGCTTTCTTGCATGTTCCTTGTTTGGCTGTGGATCTAGATTAGGATCACCTCTCCGAGTGTCTATCTCACCTTTTGTAAAGTATGGTTACGCATTCCTTAGAGAGTTGATCATCTATACCTTTTTATAGGGTGTTTTTGTACTGTAATGATTTGCTAGATGTGTATATATCCTTGTTTGATAGGATGCAACAGTAGTGGTATGCAGGTTAGAGTATCAGTAAGCTGGTTAGCGTCTAGTGGGGTGACCTAGGGGCTGTATGTAGTCATCTAGGATAGCCTAAGAACCCTTGATCTAGGCTTTCTTACATGTTCCTTGTTTGGTTGTGGCTCTAAAGTATGATTATCTGTCCGGGTGGCTATCTCACCTCTGGTTACTTATGGTTACGCATTTCATGGAGGCTAACTGGTAGTGGAGCAGTGTGTTGTGAGAGGTCTAATAGGCGGTAGTGAGTTGTATGATTGATAATTATCTATATTATGTGCCTACTTGATCCATGCTTGTTTATATGTCAATGTAAGGAGGTGGGTTAGGTTGAGGCGGTCGTGTTGTGTGATGATGGCCAAGATACCTGGTGCAGGCCGGTTTTAAGCCGTACGCACGGAGGATCGGAAAGAGCGGTTGGGTTGAGGCGACATGCCAACAAACCCAAGGCATTCCATTCGGGAGACTGTGGGCCGGGGTTCTTCCAGTACGATGACTGAGGACCCGATATGCATGCTTGTATGTTTGTTGTGTGGGGTATTTTGGGGGAAATCACTAAGCTTTGTGCTTACCCATTTGTTTATGTTCCAGGTTCTATCAGTGATTATGGGAAGACGAAGCCGAGACTGTACACACTCATCAGCAACATTGAGGATTCCGTGTTTATTATAATACTCTGATTATCGATAAATGTAATTGAAAATAAATGGTTTTTCTTAGAATGGTTTCATAATTGGGAAGTTTTACCTTAATAAAAATGAAATTTTTTGGTTGTGAAAATGGGACGTTACAGCACATGAAGAACTTTGACCTCTCCTTTTATGACCTTTTCCCGTACAAAATGGATATCCATGTAACGTATCAAAAATCACAATATAAAAATTTCATTTTTAATATAATCAAAACACTCATTTATTATTTATTCAAACATTTAGAAGTTTTTCTATCAGAGAACATTCCCAAAATCACGAGTTCTGGAAAACACGGGTGTGTGCGCTACTATCAAGTCGGACCCTTCCCTTTCGAACCGGAAGTACCTGAAACCATAAAACACAACCTGTAAGCACAAAGCTTAGTGAGTTCCCCAAAATACCACATACCATACATAACATATGAGCCATACATATCATACATATCAAACATGCGATAAGAGATGCTATGTGCCAACGATAGTCTCGCCATTATGCCACGAGCTATATCATGGTCTTCCTTGCCAGGCCGGCGACCAAAACCGTGGGTCTTAAAGACAAGTGCCAGGAGCCACCTCTTGGTCTTCCATGCAAGCATCACAAAGACAACTAGCATACAATCTACAACTACTTATCTACTTAACTGCCAGAGTCCACGCTCTGGTCTTGCATACAGATTTTCCAGGAGCCACCTCCGGGTCTTTCATACAAATGCCAAGGGCCACCCCCTGGTCTTCCTACAATACATAAACCAATAGGGTCGGCATTGGTGCCTTCGACCCATAGAATAGTGAGGAGACTCACCTCACACTGCTGAATCACACTGATAATCCCTGACAGCTGGTCTAAAAATCCCCCGAACTATCAATAACCAATAACACCCAATTAACAATTGGAATCAAATTTATATCCTCCATCTATACTTAGCGTAAAAGAACATTTTACCCCTTATATAGCTTGGCCCAAGACTGAGGCCCAAACATACAATCCAAAAGGCCCAAACATGGCCCAACAAATCCCATGGTCAACCCTGATCAAATTTCTGGTCAAAGTAAAAATCAACAGCCCATGTTAACCAAACATGCCATGTTTCCCCTTGGACACGCCGTATTCTTCCATCATCCAGATAATCAGGAAAACCCCAGCCAACACGCCGTGTTGGATTTCAAACACGTCGTGTTTGCCCGAGATTAAACAACTTAATACAATAAGTTGTTTTCTCCGATTCCAAGAGCTCTAAAGCTTAGATCTAGTCCGAAATATGGTCCAGAAGGATAAAGTTTCCAACTTTATCCATTGGGACTACCCAAAAAGGTTCAAACCAAATCTATAAAGCTTAATAGTGCACAGGGCTTAACCAATAAGCACTTAATCCATAAATACATAGCCCTAAAACATAGATCTGACTTCCTTGAGCTGGAAAACCACATAAAGTTGCAAACTTTACGTTCATGCATGTCTAAATGAATCTCTTAAGCATAAAAAGGACTTAATAATTGACTTAATGCATGTATGACACCAAAACTCTCATAAAGCTTGCACCTTTATGCTCAAGGATACCAAAACAAACTAACTATGAAGAGATCTAAACATATACAATACAAGATGCAACCTTGATACATCAGAAAGCTTCCCCACAAGATGATGATTCTGGATCCAAAGCCTTTTTCCCAAGAAAAGCAACTTCAAGATCTCCTATTCCTTCACAAAGACCAAAAATGAGCACCAAGAACTTCTTACTAGCTCAAGAACACCACCAAGAGACTTAAAGATCGATTTTACGGTTTTAGCGGCATAGAGGCTGGTAAGGAGGCCAACCATGAGGACTTAAGGTCTTTATATAGGGTGCAACGCCCTAAAATTAGGGTTTTCTCCACCAGCCACCAACACGCCGTGTAACGGCATAAACACGTCGTGTTGGCCTTAATGAAAGTCGTGCTTCTTCAAATCTAGACACGCCGTGTTAGTTCTTCCAATACGCGTGTCCAACCCTAGAAAGGGGATTTTTTTCCAAATATTATTCCTCAAGATTCTGGGTGTTACAATCCATTTGGTATGCTCTGTATGTTGGTGTTGAATTTGCTTTACTGATAGGTATATCACACTAACATTGTGACGGTAAAGGAAAGTTTTGTAGACAAAATGCTTTGGAGACGACGTTTGCAATTCTATGATATTCAGTTTCTACAACTGATAGGGATAACATTGGTAGCCTTTTGGAGGACCACACAATGAGATTATCCCCAAGAAAAATGAAATAACTGGAAGTTGACCGTCGGGTATCCAAATAACCCCCAATCCACATCTATATACGAAAAAACAATTGTATGGATTGCGATTTGGAGAGGTGTAAGTTGAGGTGAAACATACCTTAAATGTACCGAATAGATGGAGTCGGACTTCTCACCAGAGCTGGAGGAGATCGACATTGGGTTGAGGCCAGGAGGCTATCTGGTGGGGGCAATGGTGATGAGGGTCGTAGATGTTTAAGCTGAATTCCATGTTCCTTGAGAACAAGCTTTTATTGAGTTTCATAGAAGGATGAAAGCAGGTTGGTTTGTTGGATACGAGTTGCTACATTGTCATTTTTTTATTTAGACCAACCACAAGTTGTAAAATAATAGGATTTTTCAGAACAGGGGCGCCAACATGCCAGGTTGACACAGTTAAGGTTTTTAATTCTTGACAATACAAAGAGAAGGGTAGGCGTCAATTTTAATGTTTGTGAATTGATGTTCGATGTAGAATGCTTGGGAGTTCTTGTTATCCTGAAAGATATTTGCTAAAAGTTATCATGTTTGTTTGGTTGTTGCATCTGGTCGGTTCAAGGATTATTTGCAATGATCATTTGATATGGTGTTGTAGATCCTTTAAAGAACAATGACATAAATACGAATCTAATTTTCTTTCATGGCAACCGTAGAATCAACGGCCGGGGCGGTGGGAGGCGTAGGGGAATGATGTGGCCGAGAGCCTAGTATTCTCGACAATGAATCTTCAATAAGATAGACCTTGTGTATTTCCCTTTTCCCATCTCCAAGGTGATGAGAATTCTGATTTTGATGTTTGATGCAACTATGATGTGGTACAGCTTAGGTTCGACAACCATGACTAGAGAATAAATAAAAGAAAATAGATGGTCTAGGGGAAGGAATGTCAATGGAAGGAGATCGACAAATGGAGAATTGAGAAGAAGAACCATTTTGAATAGAGGTGGGGTAGTAGTCGACAAGAAAGCTGCCTTAGGTGGCAAGTAATTGTTGAGGAAGAAGAGATGTCGGTTGACATAAGGTTTAGAGGTCCGAGTATTGGCTTAATGGTTAGAGCTTAATTCCATGATCAGTTGAAAATTTTGATGCCTTTCTCATTAACGTAATGCCAATATATATACATACACGTGTTTTTTTAGATAAGGAAAGTATCTCACTAACTAGCCTAACAATTATCTATAAGATATGTACAAAGATACATAATTAATATATGAGAAATTAAATTGTCTCCTAATTTTTATGCCTACAAATATTCATACCTACTAATATTATGACACATGTCATCATTCCATATTTACTTAACTATCTGATTAAGAGTATATTAGGAATATATCAAATAAAATTAAATTGAATGGTGGAATGAAGACACGTGACATAATGTTAATGGATAGGAATATTTGTAAGCATAAAAGGTAGACGACAATTTAATTTCTCTTGATATATGTCTAATTGATACAAACATTAAACCATTATGGGAGTATCTAATATTTTTTTTTAGGTAGCAAATCCATATGGAACCACTAATTTTGATTGTAGAAAATTGAAAAAAAAAACCAAAAAAACAAAACAAAACAAAAGGAAGTATCAAATATAATATCATATGGAACCATAAATCTTGATTATTACACCTAAAACGATCAGGAAAACAACCATTCTCATGCCACATTATCACACATTGGAAACATAGCAGGAGGACGTAACTCAAAGTCAACGTAGACATTTAGGTTATTAACTATCTCCTTAAATACACACAAATTACCATTTATTAGAATCTAAAGCCAAAATGGTACTTAGGTTCATGGGATTCATGTACTTAGTTGATCCCATCATTATCTGATCCACGATAATTCTGTTTGCCTTCTCCGATGGATGGAATGCATCCCAAAACGCATACTGGTCCCTGTTTGGACATAAGTTCGACATCGGCGTACAAAGTCCAATCCCATTGTAAGGCCCTTGTCCGCAACATGCTATTTTTGAAGTAACAAATCCTACACACAAATCATGAAAACAATGTTTATATGCAAACAACAATATCAACAGCATTTTACTTAATTATTGGTTATTCATCAAAACTTATTTTTTATCTGATAACTCACCATAAGCTCTTGGATTGCTCATAAAATCGTTGTGCATCTGCTTTGTGTTTACACCGATAAACACATGACTACCGAGTTCATTATTCAAACTAGTAAGCATATCGTCTAATTGTGGGTTGTACAACGATGAAGCCTTTTGAAGCTCAGCTGCGCATTCACCATTTCTGCTATGTTGAGCCAGCTCTGCCGGCACGCACCCCAATGGACCCGTTCCAGTCACGAGTACCTTGCGTGCACCCAAATCATAGAGCCTCTGCATTCAGTGAAAATGTATAAAGCTATTGCACCATATATGATGGAATCTTCCAGCAACACCGTCGTTAAGGAGTAAAGAGAGAGATTCAAATGCATACCCTTAAAATCTTTTTGTATTCGGAGATGATGAAAGGAACGTAATTCTGGAGACTGTATTGACGGGAGCGTGCAGACATCGGGACTAAGTAATAATTGTTAACGAAGTCATTGCCACCAAGTGTCACGAGGACCAGCGCATTGTGTACGAGCTGCTTAGTCTTTTCAGCTCCTATAAGTGCACTAACTCGTTGTTGGTATTCTTTGAAGTACTCTAGTTGCAATGGAGCCCGGACAATGTTCACCTGAAGAAACAATATCTGATATTAGTTAGCCAAATATGAGTATGTGTAAAAGAACTAGTAAACAAGTTAATGGAAAGTCGTACGAATTGGATTCCAGTGTCATTCAGTATTCCAATCCCGGCGGATGCAAAGTTGGCACCAATAAGAAGCTTTTGCCCGTTGAGCTCCGGACTCAAGTATGGCAGTGTTGGCTCGGATCCTATGCGCATACCTGTACATGGTTAACCTTAATTACGTCAAGTAAACATTTGGAATGAGTTGAATGCAATGGTAATTAGAACCAAAACTTAACTGATAAGGTCGGGAATGTTGTAGCCATTAGAGAAACGTCCAGTGGCTCGATGCGTAGGGTGATCAATGCCATAAGGAGGTGCATCAGCTCGGGCAGATGTAACCAGGTAATTGTTGTTGCCGCTGTCAACTAATGAATCTCCAAACACGAAAAATGCACGTGGGTCAGCTTCGGCTCTAGGAGCAAAGACTTCTAATGCCAAGAAGATAAAAACGACCAGAAGACTTGAGAAACCCGAAGAAACAGCCATGAGCGATCGAATTCGTTTTTGAGACAAGATCGACTGATTGTGAGTGGTTTGTGGATATGAAACAAGTGATGGGGTTTTATAGGGTTTTAGTAACGGAGAAAGAGTACTAATGCTTCAAGTTTGAGAAGTTCTCATGGTTTCAGTTAGTTGCAGAGAGATATGAGGCCAATAATGGTACTGAGAAGCTGGGAAACAAAGGTGGTTGAATTTTATTAAATTGGACGGTTGGTTTATTGGTTTTACGTAATTATATATCATCAATCAATATGACATTTTAAGAAGTTGTATAATTCACCAAACCGAAGTTTTTTAATATTATACCACAAATGTAGCTAGCTTCTCCTGTAGTTGGTGTAGTAGAAATTACATATTTACCCAAATTACTAAAAGTTGTAAATTTATTTTTTGTTAGGGTAAATTACACGAATGGTCCCTATGGTTTGGGGTAGTCTGCGCGCTTGGTCCCTGAACCTTTTTTTAAACTCGAACCGTCCCTATTATATAGTTTCGTTGCGTGTTTGGTCCCTATCAGACTTAAAAAGACTTTATTGCCCCTCGATATTTCTTTTCCAATTAACTATATATATTTTAATTATTTATTAGTTAAAGAAATTGTTTAATATATAGATGGGTCCCACCAACTCACCCACTCCACAACCGTATCAAACCCTTTTACCCTTTCTTCATCTCTTTTATGTTTTTCTTCATCCATGGAACACTGAAAGAAGAGTCGCATCTCTCTTCCATACCCCTGCTTGCCGGAAAACCCCACAATCGTTGGCAGCCCTTCATCTCCTTCCTCTTTTTGTCCCCACCCCTTATTTATTTCCTTCCTTACCTGTAAAAAGACCCTGACAACCACTCTAGTCAACACCGTCGGAACCTGCAACCAAAACCAAAGCTAACCAAATCAACCCTAAAATCCAACCTAAAACCAAAATCACAGCCAACCAAAATGAATTTTAATTTCCTAAAACGAATCTGAAACCAATGTGAAGCTATTTATAAAATATGTTTTCAGAAACATCATAAAGATCGATTGCATATATTATGATGCTTCAAGTCGATGGTCCAGAGGTGACCAGCAAGAGAAAGAAAAAAGAGAGGGGATGTGGGTCTCATACCCAGAGAGAAACAAACCTGCAATTAGGTCTCGGAAACCCTTGATGTGTATGCATGTGTTACGTAGCCTTGATTTTTAGACGAGATTTCCTACAAGAAAAAGGTTGTAGGTGTGTCGTGAACTCCTGATTTCCGACTCCGACGAAGACTTTGTCTTCTTCGGTAAGGTTGCAAAAAGAGATCTGATAATCAATTTCTCATCTTCCAAATCAATCAGTAGGTGTTGGTCGGTACCTGATGACAAAGAGAGGGTATCGGAGGTGGAAGGGAGGGGGATTGATGGCGATTCCGGCGATCCCTTTTTCTGATAGGGCACAGTTGAAAAAACATGGGATGGGCAAATGACATTCGGTGGCTTTAAGTTTTATTGGAGATGAATGTAAAACGGTAAAAGGTAAGGGATAAAGGTGTAGGTCCCTCATATTTAATTATTAATTTTTTTATTAATAGTTACAAGAATTATAATAAAAAGATAAAAAAATATATATATATTAAAAAGGGTAAAATAGTCTTTTTCAGGGTGATAGGGACCAAACGTGTAACAAAAACACGTAATAGGGACGGTCCGAGTTAAAAAAAAGGTTCAGGGAACAAGCGCGCAGACTACCCCAAACTATAGGGACCATTCGTGTAATTTACCCTTTTTGTTACATGCTGAACATACATCAAGAATCAAGTAAGAACAGGCCTCGGATGATTATAGTCATGATTCAAGAAGGTGCTGGTTTCGACCATTCGAAACTTTTGTGACGCATTCTTGTCATCGTAGTATAAAGCTCTAGGTAGCTAGCACATGCCACCACAAAGGACTGAAAGGGAACTTACAACACTCAAATTAATGTTCCTTTCATTGCTGTCAAAATTTATTACTATCACAAAAATTAACATAAACAAGTACATTTCCTGTTCTGTACGAATACCAATGCAAATTTATCAATTTTTTCGATAGTAATTTTCACAAGATATATAATGTTGATAAGATTACATGAGCCCAGCCTGTAATTTGTTTTATTGTCTTGTTAAATATGTTTTAAACATTAATTACAAAGAAAAAAAATAATATAAATGGTCAAAGAAAATGACTAGTTTCTTAAAGCTCATAAAGTAAAAAAAATATATATATATCTATATTTATATCTATCATCATATCATCATATCATATCATATATACTTATAAAGCTAACATTTTTTCTTGAATCTCATGCATTTGAAACCCCCTTTTTTAACTTCCTCAAACCACATTCATTTGAAACCCCCTTTTTTAACTAATGCAACTCAAAAGTTTTATTAATTATGATTTAACACTCAAAAGTTTTATAACTTATATTATGTTTAATTATAATTTAGTGAAAAGTTTACTATAAAAAGACCAATCTTTTGTGTCTTTTGTGTTATATAAAAATCTTACATGTAAGAATGATGTTGTAAGAAAATAAAAAGAAAAATTTTCAATAGGTTTAACTATATAATTCTATTCTCGCGCAACGCGCGGGGATTCGCCTAATACATACTTATAAAGCTGACATTTTTTCTTGAACCCCATGCATTTGAAACCCTCATGAAAATTTGCAAACACCTCATTCATTTGAAACCTCTTATTTTAATGAATACCACTCAAAAGTCTCTTAATAATGATTAACAATTCAAAGGTTTTATAACTTATATAATATATTTAATAAACAATTAATGGATACTCTACTATAAAAAGGTCAATGTTTTTTAGTAGACACACAAATACAAATCACATACAAAATTCACAAAGAAAACAAATTTAAAAGTTTTTTGTGTTGGTTTGAGGGCTTTGAACAATTTTTCGAGCTATTTTATTATGTTGAAGTTTTTAATTTGTAAGTTTGTTATATACTAATTTTTTTTTTTTGTATTTTCTTGATTTAAGTATTCTTTTAAGAATATCATTGTATGTTGTGGTTGAAATTTTAATGTAAATTATATTAGATTCATGTTATCGATCATATGTTATGGAAGGTGATATATATAATATTTAATTGACTATTGTATACATGTTTGTATGTTCATGTTACTTCAAAACAATAATTAATTAAAAATCATGGATATGTCATATTATCCATATTTATCCATGTAATCTTATTTTAAAATGCAAATTGTGTATCTTATCACTTTATATTTTAGTATATGTTTAACATTTTAGTTATAACAATAAGTGCTTTTTAAATGTTTCTTTCACTGATTAATAATAACAAGTAGATTTAAAATTAATAAGCAATAATTATAAATAATAAAATCAAATTACATGGATATGTCATATTATCCATGCAAGTCTCTTTTGAAATTCAAATTGTTTATCTTATCACTTTATTATTTAGTGTATGTTTACATTTTAATAATAATATTAAGTGTTTCTTAAAAGTCTTCTTTAACTTATTATTAATAATAAGTGGTTTAAAATTAATGAATAACAATTTTAAATGATAATAACATCAAATTATAAATTACATTTAGCTATAAATAAATTGTATTTTAAATGAACATCTTTATTGAAATTAGAAAATGATCACATAAGTAAAAATATAATTAATCAATAATAATAATTGTTAGAAATAATATTAAATAGATAATTATATTTGATTCTATTAATGAGGAATGTGGGTTGATGTCAATGAATATTATTGTTCAAAATAATTGAGATTATATATATATATATATATATATATATATATATATATTATCTCAAAGTTAATGTCAATAACATAACCATTTTAAACATATATTTTTCAATATTTTAACAATATATTTTTAATCTTCGCTGCGCAACGCGCGGGAATTCGTCTAGTATAACTTATAAAACTAGCATTTTTTCTTGAACCTCATGCATTTGAAACTTCCAAAACCATTTTTTCTTGAACCTCATGAATTTGAAACTTCCAAGACTATTCAACTTATACAAATTAATTTATGATTAATTGAAATATTATGATTTGTAACTCTTAAAACTCTTCAAATCATGCGATTTAATTGATGCGTTAAATGAAATATTTAGCCTATAAAAGAAATTTGTACATTACATATTCCATGTATGTCAACACAAAATGATATATTATATTTGATAGTTTGAAGAGTTATGTGAGTGGTTCCATGGATGTAAGAAAGCAATTGCAACTTTTTCAAATATAAATTCATGTAAACTCAAATTGGGTGCATGTAAAGTTTTAGATATTAACCAAGGTTCAAATTTAGGTATATTTGTAAAGGTATACTTGAGATCATTTTTTAAGTTTATGTGTTATGCATCTTTCTATAATTGCAAGATGGTGAAGTGGGATTGATAATTATTTCTTATGAGCTTTTGGTAAATCAACCATCAAGCTATTTATCAGTTAGAACAATTAACTTTGTTAACATGTATGTATCTTTATGTTGTCTCTCTCTTATGTATTTTATGTACAAGAGAACATTATTCAACATGTATTTTATGTTTTATATATATATATATATATATATATATATATATATAATATGTTAGTTCTATTGCTTATTTTGTTGTAAATAACATCGATGGAGTTTTGTATAATTGATTTTGATGAAAGGAATTTACAATTATTATTTCAAATTGTTGATGATAATGACGGATTAGAGCGAATGATTTTTTTAATATTATATGACTTTATTGTTGAAAAAACATAATTATGAGTGTTATAAAAATGAACTCTTTATGTTCTACCAAAACTTATATGGATGTACCCAATTTTAAATGTTTTTATAGTAATAAAGATAATTTATCTTATTACATTTGTTAATTTCCTTTTTTCCCTATTCGTTCTTTATCGTAAAGGAAAAGTAAAATAAATAAAATATTAATATTTTCATAAGAAAATATAAGTGATAAAAAATATACATTTTGAACAATAATATTCATTGACATCAACCCACATTCCTCATTAATAGAATTAAATATAATTATCTAGCGTTCTGGGGCCTTTATATAATATAAAAAAAAGATATCAAAATCTTTAAAGTACCCTTAGAGTAGGGCGAAAGAAAGTCAATATGAGCGTTGGTTT